TACCAGGTTGCCAGGATGAGGTCATCCATGAACCTATTCCCTTTCATAAAAAGTCGCTCTGCTCCCAGTGAATTGAGAAACCTGTGCTCGGCATAAGCACACATTACACAGGCTAGCGGAGGGCTTGCCCGCCCCCCCATTGGGATTCCATTCGTCTGTTTTAGCACCACCCCACCTGCTTTAAAATAAGTGTTGCTCAGTAGGAAATCAGTGATCCCCATAAGTGTCGTCATCCGTACTGATTTCCATCCTTCTTCCCCGTGGGATTTCCCGAAAGTTGCCTTCTTCCCTCTTACCTTCAGTCTCACCTAACTGACGCCCTTCTCTCGAAACATGCTTATCAACCAGTGCACACTGGCCCGAACCTCATCATGCGGTAACCTTGTAAACATCTCTTTTATGTCGTAGGTCCGTATGAGGATCCTGCTGTCCATACCAGCCGACTTGTGAGCTTTCTCGTTTACCTCATTGATTTTATCCTTTAGCTGTGCAGTCCCAGCGAGGTTGAAGTGCTCCACCCCGACATTCTTTAGCATGAAATTTAGTGCCTTACTCAATAAACCTGCAACTTGTCTCGCCGGGTTACAAAATGAGGGCACTATTGGCCTTCTTTTGCAGAGATCCTTGTCCTTGGCAATGACATAGGATTCCTGCAACTTTCCTCTGATGTCCCAGTTAGCTAGCTTCGTTAGCCTTGCTGTCGAATACTCCATCCTCATATCCTGCAACACTTCCTCCTCGGTTTTTTCTATCCTCTGATAGTTAGGATTCTCATTAAACATCTCCCGCATGCCCATTGTGTAGAGTGCAGGACACTCAACCAATGTTTCCCCCCCATTTCGATCCACCGGTGGTAGTACCAGCCCTGCTAATGCCTGTTTTATCCCTTTTACATGTTCCACCCATAGTAGTCCCTCCTGTGCTGCCGGCTGTCTCCATGGTAATTGATGCCGACGCATCCTAACCACCTCACTTGCCCCAATTAGTCCCATATTTTTTAGCGGTTTAATCCCTTCATTGCATGCCTTGTTAATCACCTGCGTACTGTCAAATCCCCCCGATATATGTCTGTTCTTAGAATTGTGCAAAAAGCTAGAAATCCCGTCAATTTCACTAAGTCTAACCTGGACATGCCCTTTAGATCTGGGCAGTTCAAAGCCTTCGCAAGTGCAAGTCGTCTCCCTGCATGCGAACGACTTTTGGTTGTGCAAGATGTCAGCAATTGTAGGGGGTTTTGCCCATGTCACCCTCATCCTCTGCACCATCAGGTCCCCCAATGCCTTATGACGTGTTCTAGACTTCAACCAATCCTCCATTTCTCGTCTCACGGTTCTTTTATTGATACCCGGGTTGAATGGGATCTTAATCATTATACGTTCTCTTGGGTTAACACCGAATTTCTTCTTCATACATCTCGTGATAATCCCTCAAACGATCTGTCTGCCCCTCCTCTCTCTCAAGGTATGTACAATCCCATCCATTTCCAACATCTCCTCCAGCGATTTCTTTAGTAATTCCTTCCTCTTCCACGGTGCCCGCAATAGTCCAATCACTTTGGCCTTCACCCGCTGTCCTCCCTTTAGTCCTGATGATATCCAAGAGCGTCCAACTACCTCCTTTCTCAATTTCATGCTTCGCATCTTTTAATAGTCACTTCTTCTCCCCTTTCTGTATCAGACTAAACCCATACACCAACTTTACTAGTCTCCAGGCTTTCATCCACTTAGTGTCAACCTCATTTTCGATCCCCTTCGCCTTTCCTCCTTTCTTATATATTGCCCTTATAATTTTCAGTAGGTCCGGTTGCTTATCCTGGTTTACATATCCACAAGCAATCAGGACCGGCCCGGGATATCCCTTCAATCCTTCCGATCGCATCCCTTTTGGTCGTTTCCTACTCTTCCTTTGCTTTTTTTGCTTCCCCCTACCTTTCCCGTTCAATCCCGGATTAAGGCTTCTAATTATATCTTTCTCCACGCAGGCAATCTCATCCGTTCCTCTGAACCAGATAGGCAAAGGGATGTAATTTTCCGGCCCAAATTTTCTCATCCATCCATGAATCTTTTGTTTCCCGTTCGTTTTGCTGGCATACACATGTTCTTTCCACCTCACCTTCAACTCTCTCTTTGTCATTCCAACATAGAGTAACTTACACTTGGGAGAAAACACGAGGTAGACACAAGAAGAGGTTTTTCCTTCCAGCATGTTTTCTCTCTCATCCTCACCCATTTTTTTCTAGAAACGAACGTAATTCCTTCCCCATTTCCAATAGCCTTGCAGACATCCATAGATCACTATTTCACATTGTATCCTATAGCGCAAACCTTCGTCTATCTCTGGATAATCTTTGTGCGACCCCAATCTTGTAAACAACCTTAGCAATACCCGCTTCGAATAGGCAGTTAGTTTTCCCGAACATTTTCTACTTCGTCCCCCATCCCACCCCCTTCCGTGGGCTCAGAAACAGTTGCCCCGTTTTCCTTCATTTCCCTTAGCGATCTCATATACTCCTCCAAGTCTAGTCTCGCCAGTTCCATAACCCCCAAGTTCTTTCTATTATACAACACCCCTTTTTCTACGCAGAGTGCACGAATGTGCGTATAGTGCATAGCCTCATAGCTCTCAACCCGGTTCTTCATATAGGCTGCTAGCCCCAGCTCGTCCTTTTCTTCGATTTTTTCTTCCTCCTCCTCTACTGCGTGATGCCCCCACTCCTTCACAACTGTTTCCTGTTCTCCTTCCACTACCGCGGCTTTGCCCCGATCCTAGGGTCCTACCATCCTAGGTAGTGCCTCGACGATGTTCTTCAGAAGATCCTTGATCTCTGCCATCTCCGTAGACGGTCCTGCCTCATCGAACTTCTTCCTCAAGTCTCCTCCTCACTTGATGGTGTTCGTATCATCGTCATCGGAAAGAATAGTTACCCCGATCTGTTGCCGATTACGCACCTTAACTGCTAACTTCGTCCTTACCCTCCCGGCACGTGGTGATGCCCCCGTCGCTACTCCTGCCCGCTTCCGTTTCTCGCTACTTGAGTTATCCTTCAGATCCCGCAACTCCTTCTCGGCTCGTAGCTTCCGAAGTTCCTGCCTCTCCATCTCGGCCAGCTTTGACTTATCCTCCACCTTTTCTAATTTATCCGATAGGGTTCTCAGAGAACTCCCAAATATATCCGTGATCCATTTCTCCATCTCGTCCTCCTTTGCTTCGGTTGGTTGCTTCTCCGTCCTGGCTTCATCCTTCTTTGCCTCCACCCTTCTTGGTTGCGTAATGGGAAGAGCAGCCGGGAGAGTGACCGGCACCTGAGTTACTTGTACCTGGTTCTTGGTCGCTTCGGCAACTGCTTCCTTGAATTTTATCTTATCTAGTAGCTCTGCATGCTCCTTCATAAAAAACGCTCGGTTTGGATTATAACCTCTCTCGTACCCGTTGTTGTTCGTGTCGTTCGCATCCCCGTAGCCGTAGCCATACTGCGCCTGCTGCTGCGGCTGCCCCCACTGTGGTGGTGGTGGCCCCCAGTATGGCGGCTGTTGATATAGGCCCGGCATCGGCTGAAAGGTAGGTGGCGGAGGAGGTGGAGGAGCCGGTGGTGGGTTTTGGCCGTACGATGGTGCCTGTTGCTCCATCCAGTACCGGCCGCACCCCGACCAGGCGCCTCGTCCTCTTCCTCGCCCCCTTCCTCTTGCGTACATGAAGCTCCTTCCTTGCCCAGTGACGTCACTTCCTCGCCCCTTTCTCAATACTCAGTTGTACAGTGATCTTGAAGATGATTTTAACCCCCTGTAGGAAAGCAATCGTAGCGCCAAACATGGTCTTGATGGTGAAGCACATCCCCTTCTCTTGTCCCGCCGTTGCAGTGACCCCGCTGAGTTTTGTCCGCACTATTGTGCCTCTAGGTAGAGCATACTCTCGGATCGATGGTACCTGATAGCTGACAAAGGTGAATGATGTATGATAGATGACATATGAAAATAGTAGTAATGGTAATACCAATAATACCGATCATACCGATAATTTGAAAATGAAAATGAAAATTGAAAGAGCTCATGAGAACGTAGTCCCCACGACGCTGGATAATCGTTTCCAAGCAATGGCGCAAGGTCGATCCACCAGCTATACGTGAATGATAACACAATGTAACGCATAAAACCATTGGGCTTTACTGTTGGAGTACATGATTTTATGCCACCACGCCAAACTGCAGCGTACCACCCTTCTGCCCAGTACTACTCAGGTAGTGCAGCGCAACTGCGCTCAATCCTTTACTTATACTGATCTATCCTAGCTCTTCTCCATGCAAAAGAAAGTAACTACCAGCCTCCACGCCGTGGCGGCGTGCAAAATTTACCGTTCCAATTTTTTTTTCATACCCAACAAAATCTTACTTGCTAGAAAAAATCCTACGTCTAGGAGTGTCGGGATGTATTATTCCCGCATTCCGTCCACATTAGGCTCTTTTCGATATTTCGGGATAGCGATTTTGCCGCGGTTATACCTGTGAGTCTTTCCGAGACCTCGGCATTTCCGGCTTACCTCCTTTTTACTGCGCTTGTAGTACCATTGATGCCTCCCGTTTTGTTGTGGCTTCATTTTTCGTGGTTCTGCTTCACTGTTGGTAAAATCCTGTCGCCGTGCTTCTTCTGCGCTGTGTCAGTTACTGTTCAGTTCAGTAGTCTGAACTTCCAGCTCTTCAGTTTGTGTTCAGCCTGAGTTCATGGCCAGCTATTCCGTCCCGTTCAGTATGAGCTCTGTCCGAGTTCAGTATGTTCAGTCTGAGCTCCCAGCCCTTCGGTCTGTGTTCAGTCTGAGTTCATGGCCAGCTAACCCGTCCTCCAAACCATCTTCTCAATTGTGTGCCCATTTCATCCCAGAAGCCCCCCGTTCTTCTCCCTATGCTCTGAACCCCTGCCAGAAAGGCTTCCAAAGGATATCCCAATTTTCGAATCTCCCTTCCGAATGTAACCAGGCTTATCCATGCCGTTGCTTTCGTGTTCGTGTTATTTCGGATTCTCCAGATAGTCCCAGTCACCACGGCCCACTTTACTCTCTTATCCCCATAGGACTCATAGTCTTTGATGGTCTTATAATGTCCGGGCCCTTCCCCCCAGATACTGTCGATATTCTTGAATCTATGCGTCATGTAAATCCAAGCGGGAAGCTCTGTTACTATCAGATTTACTTCCAAAAAAGAGGCAATCCCATTTTCACCCCCTGTTTGCTCCAAGATTAGA